CGCTGTGCCTGGGACCGAGCGCCGGCGTAGCGGGTGAGCGCGGGGTGCGGTGGAACCGTCGGGGCGGCGGGGCAGTGGAATGGAAACCGGCTCTGGGAATTCTGCCGGGAGTCTGGGGCACGTTGTCGCGGCAGCAGGGCTGGTGAGCGGGGCTCAGGACTTTCTGGGGTCCTTTGGGCTAATCGAGGTTGCGGCGCTGCTGGAGGTCCCTAAAGATTCCCTGGGGTTGGCAGGGCTGGTGGCGGGGAGCAGGACTTGCTCCAGAACTTCTGGTCTGAGGGCTCCAGTGACTAAAACCCTGGGGCTTAGGGGACACAGGGCCACGGGGAGGGACACCCTGGCTGGTCTAGCAGCACCTGCTCTCTGCATGGCTTCTTTGTTTTGTTAAGAACAATGGTGCCTCTTAAACCCCTTTAAGGAACATTTAAAAAGTAACCCTTTAGCCATAAGTGCCAGGACCTGATTCTCCACCTAAATGTGCGTTTGAGTGCTAGAGTGAGAAAGGCTTATTTGACCACAGCCAGCCTTTCTTTTAGGGGCTGTCCTGCCAGTAAGTGGCAGGGACACACAGCACTGGCTTTGCTGTCTCCGCTCTAGTGGACAGAAGTCCACCTCGGATGCACAGCGCCTAGTCATGAATATTTGTCATCTGGGCTTTAGTGGAGTTGGCACTTTTTATTTTATCAAGATATCACCAAAATACGCCATTTATCCTCTACTCAAATATAATGTAATGAACAAAATGAACTAATAAGCAAAATAGAGACAGACTCATAGAAGTAGGCTGACAGCTGTGGATGTGGGCTGCTGGGTGGGTGTGTGGAAACATTTAGTAAAAAATAAAGAAAAAGAGAAAAAACTCTTGGACAACAACTACAGTGTGGTGATTGTGGGGGAGTGAGGGAGTGAAGTGAGGTGGAGGAGGGTCCAGGTGGGGTGGAAATTTGACTTGGGGTGGCAGAAACACAATATAGTGATGATGTGTTGTGGGGCCGTGAACCTGAAAGCTGCATAATTTTGTTATCCAGTGTCACCCCAATAAATTCAATAAAAATGAAAAAATTAAAACTAGTTATATACAAACAGCTGAGACATGAATTAGGCATTGGTCTCCCAGACCCAAATGATCAAAATGATGTTGACTTACTATATGTCTGTCACTTCACTGGCAGTCCATCGTGTGCTATGACAAATATTGCAACACAGACAGTAAAAGTTTAGAGAGGAAAAGGGAATTCATTTCCCAAAGGTGAGTGTGTTCAAAGTAAACATCAGCTAATTTGGTCTGTATTTCATGGGTGCAACTGTTTGGTTCACGTTGCGATGAACATCTAATAAAAGGGGCACAGCTATTCCTGTGAAGCAATTCTCAGAAGCTTCACTACTGTAACAGCCAGACAGTGCTGCGTAGGGTGAACAGCAAAGTTTAACCGGCTCAGAACTGTCTTGAATAAGGGCATTTAACGAAAGTTCATGGTTTGCCAATGAGAATGTGAATTCCTTGGATGTTACTTATAGTTTATGTGATATTCATTTTCTTAACTAAAATAACTTTTATACTATACATTGGAAACTTAAAATTAATTGTCTATCATAGACATTTTACAAAGCCTCATACATACAAGGTATTGAAACAAAAATTAGGTTTTTTGATGTTACCATTACTTGAATATGTTGCTAGCAGAGAATGAATAGGACATACATATTTTGAGGATTTTATTCAGTATTGCACACTAATACAGTAACATATATTGTGTATAATATACTAAATGTTATTAAATCATTCTAGAGATTCTAACTTCTATAAAAATCCAATAATAGTACAAAAAAGTAGAGACCAATCTTAGGTATGAAGTAGTAGTAAAATGAATTTACCTCTTTCATCCCTTGCCCAGACTTTGGTTTTGTTCCTATCCTTTCACTATGTGGTCACTTGAGGTCCATCCTTGGCCTTCTTATTGTGAAATCACCGGGCTCCTTCTTCTGGAAGGTTCTGAACAATGTTGACATTGTTAGTCATTTTCTGCAAAGCCCTCCATCTGTCTCCTCAATTCTGGGTCATTCCAGTTCTCATTCTTGATGACTGCTCTCAAGGGAATAAGCCTTCTGAGACCTAAAAGGCATCTGCAGGGGAGTCAGACTCTCCTGGTCCTGGGTGACCTTACTCCCAGCCCTTCCCTGTTTCCTTGCATCTGCTGGCTCTGTGGTGTCTGATCTTTACAAATATGCAGGACCTACCGACCATTTTTCTCCCACGGTTAGACTTTTCTAAAAGAACATTGCCAGATGACTAGGTGAAACAATAATGAAACTAAAATATGAAAGGATAAAACAAATTTTCAGGGCACAAAGTCCAAGAACCTAATAAAACTTAAGGACTATGGACTCTCCGGCAGGGTCTCTGGTCTCCAGCTCTGCTCTTAGGCCCTCACTCACCTTGTCAGATCATGTGTCCTTCACGAGGCACCACCACACACTGGCCACCTTTACAGGCACCAAAGGCAATGAGTCTGTTCTGTATCTTCTTCACCTCTTGTGCTGCATTGCCCATGACGTCTGTCTCTAAACTCCATTCTTAGCACTGTGGCCCTTGCCCAGAAGAGGAGGAACTACCAGTGTAGACCCTCTTCCCAGCTGCTTCTAACCCCAGGTCTCCAGCTTCTGCTGGACACTCTCACTCCAATCTCCCACCACTGCTTTTAATCCACAGTCACCAAACTAAAGTTCTCACCTCCCCTTCCAATCTCAAATTCGCACTCCTCCCCAATGTCCTTCTCTTTGAATCCCCCCACAACTTTTCCACTCACCAGGCTCAGGCATGTAAGACTCTTCTCTCACTCCTACCTCTCTCATCTCTGGCTCTGCTCAGCACTACACACTGCTTTATTTTTCTCGTCAGAAAGTCTCTCTTCTCTGTCTTTCCTCTTTTCCATTTGCCCCTCCTGACATCCAGCCTGGCCTTCAACACTCACTCCAAGGTCACCACACCTCTCCTGAGTCCCAGCAGGCTATAGACAGGCACCTTCTTTCTTGAACAACACTTCAGCATCTCTCCCCTCTCTCAGTGGGTTAATGGCTCTCTAGTTCTTAGGTTCGTGTGCACCACCAGTGCTTACTGAATGCCTACTGTGTGCAAACATAGCCCCAGCCTAGCTCCATGTGACAAGCAGCCATTAAATTCACTGCTTTTTAATTCAACGCCCTGTGTCAGTCACATGATCACACGTATTCCCACCACACAGGAACCTCGCTCTGTTCTTAAAAGGTGCTCTCTTCACTGTATTAGTATTAGTACACTTCTTCTCTGCCCTTATAGAGCTCCCTATTCTCCTGAATTTTCTCATCTCCCCAAATAGATCTCAAGATTGAGACCATGTTTAAGTTGAAGACACAGCATGTGCTAATGCATAAAGGTCGTGTTTCAGGGCCCACAGGAAGTTTGGTGCCCAAAGTGCTGGACCAGGTCCTCCTGGGTTGTGCACACTGGCCATGGCTCTTGTCCTGCGTCCCAGAGGCACATGTCCAACAGGGTGGAGGGAGGGTCTAGGGCCAAGGGCAGAGTCAGGGGTCTTGTGACAGTCTGGCGCTGATGGCATTCCTCCAAGCTCAGTGGGATGGCTGTGGGGTCTGTGTAGGAGTCAGAACTGATAGCTTGGAGGAGAAGCAGGATGTAACCTAGAATGATTCCCTGGCTTTTGACATCCTTCATTGGAGAGTGAGTTGTTTCATGCTTAATAATTAAGTTTCTCAATGAAACTTGTTAATGTCTAAAAACATGCAGAATAAGACAGACAGCAGTTATAATATGGGGCAAGGAGGCTGGTACATGAAGACCAAGATTTCTCTAAGGAGCTCAAGTGACCAAAACAAAGCATTGGAAGTTTACTCAGAAAGAAGACTGACATTTGCCTGTTGTTGTGTGTTTTTTGTGTGTGTGTGTGGTTTTTTTTGTTTTTTGTTTTTTTTTTTAGATCACAGGGAGTAAAGTTTTGTTTGTTTATTTGCCTTCAAACCAATTCCTAAAAATTAGTGTTGTTAAGCATTTTAAGATTCAACATGATAGAGTTTTCTTTATTCTTGTATGTATACTCACAGCCTAGCCCATGTTCCTTATTGCAGACTGGTCATTGGGAACAGCGGTGCTGTCTTTGGTTCCAGTTTGGAGCATCTGACCCGTTTGAGCAGAGGCCACATGGAGGGTACCTTGTAGGCTTGGTCCCCAGCATCCAGGGAGCACTGTCACCTTCACAAAGTGGGCCCACGGGTCTTACTTTCCTCACTCGAGAGGCAGTTCACTGCCTATGACCATGGACCCCACCTTACAGTCAGAGACACAGGCTCCTGCCCAAGGACATGCACAGACTGAACCATTTGCAAAGAGAAAGATTCAAAAGGAAAGTAAAAAATGGAGAAGGTAACAGATTAAAACAGTAGAAGTTATGAAAGTGGAATGAGCATGGGGCAATTTGGGAGAACATTGCTCTAACCTCACGAGAGCAGGACAGGTGAGATTAGGAATTGGCCAGCTGCATAGGAAGCCTGAGAGGCAGAGTCCGGAAGAGCCAGGGTGGAGTTAGGAGCTGGGAGAAGTCCGTGTCCTTTAGAAAAGTCATTTGTCTTTCTTGCTCAATTTCCTCGTCTCTGAAGTAACTTAAGTAACCTGTGTTTGTCTCATTTAATCCACGCTTTTGTAGGGTGACTACAATACTATATTCATGCTGTAGGCCTTGGTTTAACCCATGTGTCATGACACTCGCAGACAGGTACACAATGCACACACATACAGGTGTACACTGTACACAGATGCACATACACATCGTGTGAAGAGATCTGCAGGACAGCCCACATTGAGAAGCAGGAGGGCAGACACACAATTACATTATATTATATTCCAACTTCTATGTATAAGAACAGATGCCTGGCCTTGCGCTCACCTGTCTTACCTGATTATTAACAAGCATGTTCCCTTATGTTCCCTTACAGGCTGGCAATCTGGAGCCATGGGTGACTGGAGCCTTCTGGGGAGACTGTTGGATACTGCACAGGAGCACTCCACGGTTATAGGCAAGGTCTGGCTGACGGTCCTGTTCATCTTCCGAATCTTGTTGCTGGGAGCTGGGGTGGAGTCGGTGTGGGGAGATGAGCAGTCAGGTTTCACCTGCAACACCCAGCAGCCGGGCTGCATGAACGTGTGCTACGACAAAGCCTTCCCCATCTCCCACACCCGCTTCTGGGTGCTGCAGATCATCTTCGTGTCCACGCCCACCCTCATCTACCTGGGGCACGTGCTGCACATCATGCGCATGGAAGAGAAGAAGAGAGGCAGGGAGGAAGAACAGGCAAAGGGAAAGAGCGACCATGGCCAGAAGGATAGTCCCCAAATGCGGGACGACCAGGGAAAGGTCCGAATCGCTGGGGCCCTGCTCCGGACCTACATATTCAACATCATCTTTAAGATGCTGTTTGAAGTGGGGTTCATTGTTGGGCAGTACTATCTGTATGGCTTTCACCTGGAGCCACTCTACCGCTGTGACCAGTGGCCCTGCCCCAACCTCGTGGACTGCTTCATCTCCAGGCCCACAGAGAAGACCATCTTCATCATCTTCATGCTGGCCATCGCCTGCCTGTCCCTCTTACTCAACGTGCTGGAGATATACCACCTGGGCTGGAAGAAGCTTAAACAGGGCATGACCAACCACTATGACCCAGAGGCCGCTGAATCCAGGGTGGGGGCCATGATATCTGGGGATGTGCCCCCACTCCCCTCCCATTAGGCCACAGACACTGGTACTATGGGGCGCCCTTCTACTACATGCACTCTGTCTCTTCCCTGGGATGGGCAACAACCATCATCATTCCAGGGCCCTCCAGCAGCATCAGCCTTCAACATGGCAGCTCTTTCCCAGGCACAAGGGAAGGGCCACCCCGACAAATTCTACAATAGTGACCACCACCGGCAACTACAGGCAGAGTTGGGCCAACCAGGAGCCTGGGCAGCAGATTCTGTGAGGAAGGTCTCCCCACCTGTGTCCACATCCTCCTCCTTCACCCCTCCAGGCGGCCCCCTGCAGTCCCCTCAGGAGGGCAGAGAAGGCAGCAAAGAATCTGTCGTGTTGGAGAATGGGGACAGCAGCATCCGGGGAGAGAGCAGATTGGAAGGGACTCCTGATGAGCGGCAGCGGGCAGTGACCCCCGCTGTGGGGGCGCACATGCCGCCTGTGCTCCCCACAGACCCAGACGGTCAAGCAAGGCCAGTAAGGCCAGCAACAGTCAGTCCAGACCCAGTGACTTGGCCATCTAGTGGTGGCCTCCCCAGGTAGCTTTATAATGACCACCTTTCTAGCATCAAAACCAAAGTGCACTTCAAGCGAGCAGCTAGAGAGCCAGAGTGACAGAGAGCACTGGAGTGGGGGGAAAGACCACCGAGAGGTCAGGTTTCTGTGTCAGTGCTTGCTGTCCTTAGCGCTGGAGGTGGAGTGGGGAGGGTGATGATGCTTTCTACGGGGAGTGAGGGCAAAGTGGCCGGTGCCCTTTACAGATATTCATGGTACCCAAGAGCCCTGAGCCAAGAGACCTTCTCAGGGGTTTCTGTCTCTGAGGCGGACTGCTCTGCGATGGCAGAGGCAGGTGTCTGCAGTCACTTCAGTTTGTGGCCGTTGGGTTTTCTGTCCTGAGCTCTCCGGAGCCTCTGAGCAGCCCCGAAGGCCTCAACGATGCTTAAGTACCTGTCTGATACTTTTAATTCATTTCAGATATTTGCCAAACTGCACTAAAAGGAGACTGGGAGCAAGCCTATGCTGTGTCATTTGAGATTCTGAAATTGCATGTGAAGCCCCCATTTTAAAAGAAACGCTTTACTTTATGAGTCAGTTCATTACTATGAGAAGGTAAAAAATGAAATAAAAGCAGGGAAAAACTTAAGTGCCTTTAAATAATCGAAGTTCTAAAATGGGAGGTTAAAAGTAACTGCTGCTGCTAGGAAATTATTTATACAGGTGAATGAATAAACTACACCTTTTAAACAGTGCAAATGGACTTCATGTTTCTTAACCATTCTTTGTGGGCAGCCCAGTAGCTTTCTAGAGTGTAAATAAAGCTCTGTGCATTCACTCCCTGTGTCAGTGCATGTGTCATTTTGTGCGAGTGACTGATTTGTTATCCCTCCGGGTGGCTGCTGTGACAGGGAAGGCTATTTGTGTGGGTGAGTGTGGCTAAAAGATGACAGAATTTCCTGTCCTGCACACACAGTGTCTGAACCGAAGAGCAGTGGTGGTGCTGTGTGATCCTCATCACACTTTTCACCTCCAACAGCCACCGCTTGTAGTTTTTATTCAGCAGAACACCGTCCACTGTCAATTAATCCATTTGTTTTTATGAATCCCTTTAATTTTCTGAAGATTCTTTTGTGATGAAAGACTATGATTAATGTGAGCAGATAGCTCATTAGTGTGTTCAGCTGGCTGTGCTATGGGCTGACTATCTCCCAAGCTTGAGCTAAGCTCACTTCCGACACATGTCCTGCAGTCTTCCGCAGACAGATGGACAAGGAGAGGGAGGCAAGCCCCCGGAGAATGTTTAATTGTTGTCTCAGGGCTCCCAGGGCTGGTGCGGGAGCACTGCCGCTGTGGGTGCCTGGGGGAGAAAGCCGCCATCCCCTGCCGGTGACCCTCGGGTGCAGGCCGGGAGGCTGAGTTCTCCAGCTGAGAAAGTCCTGCGTGAGCCACACGGCGTCAGTGAGGCTGTGGTTGTTTAGAAAATGCAATAGCAGTTATCACACAGGGAAGGTGCAGCTCGTTGAATGAGTGTGAAATTTGTCCAGATTCTTAGGTTCTTCCCTGGAGACTGTTAATAATGATGATAAACTTTTTGGACCACAATTTGACCCTGAGTGGGGTTGGAGGAGTGAGTGGCACTGTAATTGTGTTTGGTTTTTGCATTTAAAATGGGGTTTTATTCCCATATGTCACAGAGAGGCCACATTCAGTGGCCACAGTCTGCTTGGCCCACTCAGAGCCTTGGTAGGATGTAAAATTAGATTCACTGCCTTGAAAAACCTGTCATTTATACAGAAATTAAATTCTGCAATAGTGCCTAGGGGATTTCTGCAGGTGAATGTTCTAATTTCAATTTCAATCCTTGTGAGAAATGAAAGCTCATTTTACAAAGCTCATCTTTGAGGGATCTGTGACCCTGAAGTGGGGCTCCTTCTCCCTCCCACTGAGAAGTGGGAAAGGTCAGTCTCTGTTCAACCCATCATTGTAAACATCTAAATGTCAAAAGAAACAGAAATCGCCTTTCCCTTTGGGCCAGATTCCAGATCTTATTTTTTCTAATTATTTGGAAATTTCACTGAAATGATTTTCCTCTCAATGTAAAAGATTATTTTTATCCCTAAGTTTGTTATGAAACCCAAATGCTATGTGTAACACATATTTTTAATTTGTCATATATAAGGCAATTATGTCCTTCCATCCCTGCATGTAGAAGCCCAGCCATCCAGTTGGCACTGCACACTCTGAAAAAGTTAAGGAAGGTTACTTTCACACATCACTACATTCACAGTACCCAAATCCCAAATCCACTTTTTAAATTAGAAATCACCTCTTATAAAATCACTTTCTCTTTTTGAATTTTATTTGCTGAGTTATTCCTTTCCCCTCATGAAACTGACAATAGGATATCTTAAATTAGAGAGAGAGAGAGAGTTAAAAATAGCAAGTCAGAATATTCTGATATTCCCTGGCTTTCTTTGATCTTTAAATGGCTACATCATAGAGTTCTCATACAAGAACACCTAGAATATGAATGCAATTCAAACAATCTTTAAAAAATTAACCTAATGAGATTAGGTCTCTTCTCAGTTTAGGTTTTTCTCCCTATTAATACTTTATTTAATTCTTTAGTATTTCTAAATAAATTTTTTTTATTTTAAATATTTTCTTCTAATATTTGTAACAACTCTTTAAAAACTCCAATAAATCAAAGTTTTAAATAAATATAAGAGCTGTCAAATTCTTGTATATATTCCAATATCATTTATAAACTTAGTCATATGCTCTTAAACATTTTAACTACAAGTTTAAAATTAATTACACATTTTACATGAAAACATTTTACATGAAAAACCTATTTTGCCAGATTCCCTTAAAGATGACAAGCATACAATCTCTCAGGAGGTGACATTGACAGAAGACAGGTCAGGGATTGCCTGGAATCAGGTTAAGGAAGGAGTAACTGCAAAACAGATAAGGAAACTATTGGTGGCTACACAAGTATAGACATTTTTCAAAATTCAATAAGCTGCACCTTAAAATAGACTTATCATATGTTACTTATATGCCCACAAAATTGACCTGAGGGGGGAAAATATATGTGTGTGTGTGTGTGTGTGTGTGTGTGTGTACCTATACACATACAAATTATCAATGGATATAAAATCTAAACTTAACACAAAAGAACTAAGTCTTCACTCTCATTGACTTTACCATCTCTACATTTAATTCTATTCAGGTTTTTTTTAAGTAGTTGAGATGAGATCTGAAAGATGAGGTGTGAGGGGACACCAAGCTGAGGAACAGGAGGGGTCAGTTGAGGTTCTCCATCAAGAGGTATACAAGGCAGAAGTAAGCAGTCAGATGGCACCTGAATTTCTGCCAGTTTTGGACCAGCTGTCACAGATCTGCTGGTGGGTTAGGTGGAAACAGGGACTGCCCTGCATGCCTGGAGACATAACTGAGTAAGGGACACTGGCCAGAGGGAGTGTGTTAGTTTCCTGAGGCTGCTATACAAATGGCCACAAATGCAGTGCCTTACAACAACACTGATTTATCCTCAGACAGTTCTGGGCGCAGAGGTCTGAGGTCAGCGTTACTGGGATAACACTTAGCTGTTGGCAAGGCTAGTTCCTACCAGAGGCCCAAGGGGAAGACCTGTTCCTATTCCATTTCTGGAGGTTGTGGCATTCCCTGGCTCCTGTCAACACCCACTTCTGTGGTCACATTTCCTCATCTGTGCGACTGTCAAATGTCCCCTCTTATAAGGGCACTGGTGGTTACAGGACTACCTCTGCATCTCAAGATCCAAAACTTAGTCACTTCCACAAAGTCTCTTTTGCCATATGAGGTCAGATTGTCACGTTCCAGGTACCAGGATGTGACGTTATGGTGGCCACAGGTGAGCCCAGCAACAAGGAGTCAGTATTTTGGGTTGAAGAAGCACTTTTCGTGACCTGCCTAACAGCGGCGTGTTTGACCCTGATCTTCCTCCAGTTTGTATCCATGGTGTGATGCAGATAAAGTGTGTTTATTAGACAGATAGTTCAGGATGGAAGGGACTGAACCATCTGGCCCATATCCAATCCACAGGAGGCTTCACATAAATGAAATGTTACTTGGAAGCCCACTTTTTAAATGTTTCCAGCGAGGCCCCACTTCACTGCAAAGTCCCCAGAGTGGAGCTGGCAGCCTTTCACTCACACTGAGCAGAGGGATGAGGAAGCACCCCCATGAGGGCTCTGGGTGAGCTGGACCCCAAATGTCACCCTGAAGGGGACCAGCTCCACCGGAGGTGGCCTCAGGCAGGTTATGCATTGGTCCATCAGATGCTCACGCCTGGGGCCAGACGGCTGTTGACAGAGTCTCTGGGGGCAATACAGACAGGGACCCTTTGCCCAGGTAGGGATACTGATAACATGACTGCCTCCTATCAGTTACTGCTCAAACAGCCTAGAGCAAGCATGTCAAACGCAAAGGCTAACACAGGCCAAATAAACATG